TCACCAACAGGGCTGAAGGCAGCGAACGGAGTGGCGAGGAAGGCAGCTGTGCCGTGTCCCAGCAGCGCGCGCCATGGAGAACACCAGGAGCTCAATGCCAGCAGGGATTCCCATTCCAGAATATCATACACGAGGGTCATAACTATGTTATAGCCTCTAGCCTCCAAAAGAGGATGCTAACTGTCCTTATAGAAAAACGGGCCGTTTTAAAAATATGAATTGTGGAGAGTTTAGAGAATGGAATTAAAACACTAAGTATGTTTTTTTATTATTTTGTTTTTGCTTTTTTTGCTTTTTTTTTCTCCTTAGCTACAAGGTAACTAATCTTTGAAGCAACTGTTCTACACCTTTGAATTCCCCATCTCTGGGCACATAAAAATGGAAAGCTGGAGCATTTCAAAGTAAACATCCCTTCATTGAAGCATGTATTAAGCAATGACAGTTATTTCTCAAAGTATAGAATCAGTAGCGTCCCTCCGAACACACTGCTAACATTTTGCAGTCTTGTACCTTTCAACTGTCTGTGCTCCTTTGAGCACTAGATGCAAAAAAGCTCTTTTGCTATGAGCCTTAATAGTTTATGGCTACTGGATTACCTTCAGTAGAGTGCAGGGATTACTTTTTATTTAAAAATATTAAAAAAAAAATCCTTGTGGCCTATGTAAATCCAGCCTTGTATGAGGATGCTGCTGAATATCTCAATCTTTTTTTTTTTTTTCCGCTTTCTCCCACCTGATATTTTGTCAGTGATTTGTAAAATGGGTATATAGGATAATAAAGTTTGCAGGTTACGATGAGCTCCAGTGGCATGGTATGAAATGTCGAGATTGGTCATATATAGTGGCTTTGTAATATTCAGCATTATAATGCCAGGAAAAGGGCATGTTCAGGTCTGATTGCATTGCTTCTGATATTTTGCTTTTGACCATATTGGTTCTTGTGTTTTCTCTCCTGTGCTGATCATTGAACTCTCTTTTTATCTTTAGTCGCGACAGACGCCAGAGGGAGAATTTCTGCCGCTAGATCAGTGTGAATTGGATGTTGGATTTGGAACTGGAGCTGACCAGTTGTTTTTAGTTTCCCCATTAACCATCTGTCATGAAATTGACTCAAGGAGCCCCTTTTTTTGCTTGTCAAAAAGATCACTAAGAAGTGAGCAGTTTGAAATAGTTGTCATACTTGAAGGTATTGTCGAGACTACAGGTAAGATTTAGAATAATACGATTATAAAATTGATCTTTAATTAGAGATTTTGTCCTGTATGCTCGTCTAGCTGCTCATGTTACAATATCAGTGTTTCTGGCTCTCTCTTTGTAGGAATGACCTGTCAAGCTAGGACATCGTATACAGAGGATGAAGTTCTTTGGGGTCATAGGTTCCTCCCAGTAATTTCCCTGGAAGATGGCTTTTTCCGTGTTGATTACTCTCAATTTCACGATACATTTGAAGTCCCCACTCCTCCTTATAGCGTTAAAGAACAAGGAGAAAATCTCTGTCTGTCACCTCTTCTGAATAGTCCTATCAGTGACAAAAAAAGCCCAACAGAACAGTTTTTCTCACTTGACGGCATTGATGTTGCAGGAGAAGAGAACAAGCTTCCCAGTAAACTTCTGAAAACTAGCTCAAGGAAGGAAGACCTTCCTACAAAGACCTTCAGGATGAGTTCCAGCAATGTAGAGAAGACTCACAGTGCTGGGGATCTCTTGGAAATTCCACAAGTCAGTCCCATCTCCAACAGCGAGGCTCGTGATGAGGTGATGCAGCTGAAAGCCTTAAAAATCAATGCTGAGTCTTTGTCTACTGCACATCTTGAGCTCCCAAAGAAGCCTCCAACTATGTGCACTACAGAGATGGAATTGGGAGATAATTTGCCTGCCAAACTTTGAAAAATGAACTAAGATCACTTCTCTTAAGAGCAGAAGGAACAGGAGTTGGTGCCGATAAACTGAATTCAACGCTGCTGATTTGAAGAGCTCTCTTATGCCAATGTGTTGATTTAGTTTTGTTACTTTTCAATAATTTGTTTTTGTATAATTGTTCTGTACAGATGCAATTTTAAGTATATGTAGATGCTTTCTGCTGAAACAAGGACCAGATCCTTGGTTGTAGAGTAAAATGTTCAGAATTAGGCAAACTAAGTAGTTCAAAACAGCTGAAGCTGCTCGTATCTTTGATTATATGTGATGTACAGTACACAAGAACACAGAAGGAACCTGTCCAAGAACTAGGCCCAGATCAGCATCGAATCAGATGGCTCGTGCCCTAAATGCAGTTGAATTTTAACTCAGTTCGAAGGGAATGTGCTGAGTAGCTCAGGTGTAGAAATCTCAGAACGGTGGTTTGTTTAATACTTCAACTCATAAAATAACAGCTTGGAGACTGCTGGTGAGTAAATAAAGTGAAAACACTTGATAATTTTCTGTCATTACATGAAGAATTACACACACGCATCTCAGGAATTGTACTAAGGGATAGTAAGGGTCTTTGATGTTGTGCATTTATTTGTTATGCTTGCCCTCCCTGCTCACACGCTCCTCAGTCCTTTTTCAGATTTAAAATTTGCAATTTTAAGCAGTTTATTTACAGTTAGAACTCTGTCTAAACATCATTCTTTTCAGATACTGAAAGAAAGGACAGGTAGTATCTATAATTTACAGATTTCTGACTGGCCTGAAAGAGGACAAATGTTCTTTTCACTTTTATTTTTTCAATCTTGTCTGACTGAAATGATGTTTTGCCATACTGAGCATCAGGAAATGATAAGGGCTAGACTTGGGCTTTCTTAGGTTTCCTGTGGTGCCACACTTCAGAATAATTTTCTGCGTTACTATTGTGGTGTCCATCTTAAATCTGTGTGAGCAAGCATAGTTAGAACTTGCTATTTTGTAAAATATGTAGTTCAGTAGCTCTGAATATTGGGAGGTCATCGTAAGCAGAGTGTTCCACAATAGAAGAATCAAATTCTGCCCTTGTTACACGATAGTAAAATTAATAAAAGCGGTTACTGTGAGTGTAATGGTCAGTAATAACTTTGTAACTGAAACAGGCCAGGCAGGGGGAAAGGGGTAGGCCAAGGGAGAGGTGCAGCGGGCTTGCCTGGATCTGCTCCAGGATCTGCTCTGGGATCTGCTGCTACCTTGGGATCTGGTCCAAAATCTGCTCCAGACTCTGCTCCCGGCCGCAATCCCGTCCAGACTCTCCTCCTACCCCACACTTGCTCCGGGATCCGCGCTGGGTCCTACCCCTGCTCCGAGTCTGGTGCTGCTCCTGCTCCTGCCCCGGGGGGTGCCGACTCCAGCTCACAATCCGGGTTCCAGGACCCTGGCTCCGGCTCCAGGATGCAATCCAGATCGGCCTTTGCCTCACCCTGACTCCTGCTCTGGATCCAGCTCTGGCTCTTGCTCCAGCTGATTCCAGCTCCGCTTTCAAATCCAACTCCGGCTCCAGTATCAAAGTGGGATCAAATCCCGCAGGGCCCTCCCAGCCCCGCAGGGAGCCCCCGGGGCTGTGGGGCCCTCCAGGGTCTGTAGGGAGCCCGGGGGGTCCATAGGGCCTGCCCGGTCCTGCACAGAGGCCTGCAGAGGCCCCGGGAGGCTGCAGGAAAGCCCGGGGTCCCCGGCCCAGGGCGCACGGACGCCGCGGCCGGAACCCCGTGGGGCTGTGCGGGCTCTGCCGGGCCCTCCGCGAGCTCCACGTGGGCATTGCTGTCCCCTCAGTGTCACTCTCCACGGGCTCCATACAAGGCTGGGCCTCCGTGCAGCCCCAGGGGAGCCCAACGTGCCGCTCGCTGCCCTCCCCAACCCACGGGACACATATTTTGAGCACGGCTGCCTTTGCGTGGTGAAGGGAGAACCTTCCAGTGGGACATGAGAGCCACCAGCCCAGGTACGGCATGCCAGGAGCACGCTGGGGACAAGGAGGAGACCTCGCGCTTCCCTGGCTCCACAGGGACAGAGTTGGAGCCTGACCCTGGCACGTTTCCTGTCTGCAGCTGCCGTCACCGTTGGCACAGAAGCCCTGCGCTCCATGGAGCTCTAGCCGCGCGGTGCCCATGGTGCCCATGGATGTCACGTGGACACGGAAGAAAAGCTCCTTCTGGGGCAGGTTGGCAGGATCAGGGGCGCTCCTGAACTACGTGACTGTGGGTCCATGGGTCACTGCTTCCTCTTGCAGGGAGCAGAGCTGCACCAAAATCTGCCTCCTGCAGAGCAGAGTTGAGCTGGATGTGGTGAGAAGTTCCAGCTCCCTGTCTGTCTCTTCCACCCAGACCCAAACATACTCCCACCAGACACCTGAGGTCTCAAGGGCTGGCACGCCGCTCCCATTGCCAACATTCCATCTGCCCCAGAAGGATCCTGCAGCAACGTGGTTGAGAAAAGGACTCTGAGCACCTTCTCCACCAGAGCGCTCTGCAGCCCAGCCCGTGGGTCCTCCCTGAGCCTGACAAACGGCACACAATTTGGGAAGCTCTTGAGCAGCCCCTTGGAAGCCAGCAACAAGCCCCTCACCTTGCCAAGACACAGGACACACCTGGGGCATCCTCAGACCAAGGTTTAATTCTGTTGCAAATGAGGAGCAGCTCTGCAGAGCAGAGTGTTGGGACTGGCACCTGCCTGTCACCAGCAGCTGGTGATAAAGATGGTCCCAGGAGCGACCTGCTCAGAGCCACAGCCCCTCCTGGGACAGCGAGAGCTGCAATGGGTGCAGATTCTCCCAGCAATGTGACCAAGCTGGGCAGCCAGCACGACCGCAGGGACCAGGAGATGCTGGCATCCAGAGGGTACTTGCAAGGGACCGATGCCGCAGAGCTGAGGCCAAATTACGGCCTCCTGCATGTCAACACTTCCAAGGGGCAGGAGGCAACATCAAGTCAAAGCACCCAGGAGCTGGAATGCACTGCTAACTGCCCGCCCCATCCCCTGGGAGAACGGCAGGCTGTCCCTGGGGCCGCAGCTGGATCGGTGTCCGGGAGGGGGGCGCCAGGCCTGCTCAGCACCCTGTAGCCAAGTCCCTTGCTGGGCTCGGAGTCCATCCCCCATCACTTACGGCGCTTCTTCTTCTGCTCTTTGCGTTTCTGAGCCCTCACATCCTTCTTCAGGCGGCTGTCAACCACCTTGAACTGGCCCTTGACCCCAGGAGGGCGGCGCACCCGTCGTCCTACACCCTTCTTGGCCACCAAGTAGGTGACCTGCCGCTTCTCCTTGCCCAGACCGGCCTTCTTGTAGATGCTGCAGGAAGAGGGGGACAAGTGAGACCCCAAGCCCCAGGCCAGCCAGGAGCCCAGACTCAGCAGAATTGCTCTAGGAGCTTCACATCAGCCTGTAACCTAGGGCCAATATTGGGTCCCAGGCTCCACAGGGCAGTTACACCCCAAGATGGGGCTGCCCATGACTAGACCCAGCTCCTGCTTGCTCTTCTGCTGCTGTTGTCCTGCTCCCTCCATCTTCCCAACCCTCAATCCTACCCTCAGCTCCTACCCAGCTCTCACTGGTCCTGCTGGGTTACACTCAGGAGCTGCTCCCACACTGTGGCCACAGGGACAGGACGTTGCCATCCAGCCCTGTGCCACCCAAAGCACCGAGATCCCGGCTCCACCACTCACCGCCGCAGCTGGGCCACTTTCTCCCGCTCCGAGATATCCACCGTGCTCACCACGGCCTCCGCTTTCTTCTTCATCTGCTCCATCTTCTTCAGCATCTGTAGGGAGAAAAAAGGTCAGAAGCAAACTGGAGGGACAGAGCAGCGGGGCTGGGGGGAACGGAGGCCAGGACCACAGCCCCGCTCACCCGCCGCTTCTTGCGGGCCTTGGCCTCCGCTACTTTCTTGATGGGCCGGGCATTGATCTGGCGCCAGCGCTGCCGATACTCCTCCACCGTCTGCCGGTCTATGGGTATCTGCTTGCGCCGGTGCTGCTTCTCCTCCTCCGTGAACCACTCGGGCAGCTCCCCCTCATCCTCATTGAAAGAATATCTGGGGGCCAGATGGAGAGGCTGAGTGGGGCACAGGCTCCCAGACAGCTCCCTGCCCCACACCGGTACATCTGCCACCCGTCCTGGCAGGGGAGCACGTGCTGGTTCCCTTCCAGCACACACAGCTGTGAGTACCTGTTGAAGGAGTTGTCAATCAGGTCCCGCTTGGCCTTTTTGGAGGTGGCGATGACCGAGCCGAGCGCCAGGCCCTCTGCGTCCAGCACACGGGCTCTCTTCACTGCGACACACGGGTGGGTTAAAGCTTGTCCTGCCTGCGAGCAGCCTCAGACCCAGAGGGCCAGGAGCCACTCTCCTTCCCTGGCCAGAAACACAGAGGCTGCCCTGCTTTCCATCCCCGAAGAGGGACTCATGGCACGCACTGGTCCAGACCGTGGCCCCACTCACCTGGGTCCTCAATGGGCACCACTTCAAAGCCATCAGATTCATTTCGGGCTCGTTTCTTCCCCACTGCTGTTGGTGGCCTGTGGGGAGATGAGCTGTCAGCACTGGGGTGGGTGCAGGTTGGGGTCCCCGTGTTTCCCCTCTCCTGGTCTGTACAGCAGGACAGAGCACCCAGATTGCCCCGCTCCCCTCACCTCTCGTCATCGCTGCTGCTGTCATCGTCACTGCTCTCCTCATCCTGTGCTTCACCAGTGTCTGCTCTTGCATCCACTGCGGTCTCGGTCTTGGTCGCAGCACCCTCCAGAGGAACCTTCTTCTGCCCTTTCCCCTTCACCTTGTCTACAGAACAGGAGCCAGTGAGTGAGAGAAGGTGGAGGCAGATCCCATTTCAGAATTTAACCCCTTCCTCCAGAAACACAGCTCATTAATTTTACATTAATGCAGGTTTTTTAAACTGTATGGTGTTATAGGCTGGAAAGGATCTCCAGAGATCTCCAGCTCCAGAACAACTCCCTGTCGAGTCCCCCTGGAATGCACTCCTCACACCAACCTGAACGAGACTCGTGCTGTCTCTCAGCCAGCATCTGTGACTGTCTCAGCTCCAGGTCCTCATCTGCATCATCCTCGATGCCAGCGAAGGCATCCTGTGAGGGGAGGACACCAAGTCAGGGGGTGTAGGGCAGAGCTGGGGGGAAGACGCTGAGGTCAAGACTGTCCCATTGGCTCTTGGCCTTGGAGACTCACCTTCCCAAACCACAAACTAGTCTGCCGTTCCTCCAGCACCGACTTCTCCTCCAGGGGTACCAGAAGTGGATTTTCCTCCTCTTCTCCTGACTCCTCTTGCTCTTCAAAAGTCACCCTGTGAATGCCAGCAGCAGGATTCAGTGCGCACAGTTAGGACAGGGTATTCCTCCCCGCCCAAGCCCACCAATCTGCTCCAACATGAACCCACACCCCCAGGAAAGCCTTCTCACCTCTTTGCGCCCTGCTCTCGCCTTTCTCGCTCCAGCCGCCGCTGACGTTCCTCTATTTCCACCAGCTCCTCTGGGTCCAGATCACTGGCCAGGGACGCATCGTCCGCTTCACCCGCATCTGACAGACAAATGTCGTCGTCCGCAGGCCCCATCTCCAGGAGGGCGTCTGCTGATGCCATGTCCCCCCGCACCACCTCATTCAGCAGCTGCGACAGGAGCGAAACCGTGAGCAAGAGCCCATCTCCTACCTGCTGGCCAACATCCCAGTCCCGCCAGCGGCTCTCGCAACCTTCCCACTGTCCACGTACCTGTGTCTTGTGGATAGTCTGGAGGGAGAACATGCTAGTATCACCCTCGTCAGCAATGGAGACACCAGGGAGGTCCATCTTCAACTCAACCCGCTCACGCTGCTTCCGCTGCTCTTTCAGGATCTTCTTCTTCTTCCTGGAAGAGAAAATGAAGAAATGAGGCCACACTGGCCCCCCACATCTCAGTGTCCCAATCCACTGCCATGTTGCTGCCAGACCAAAGAGTCCAAGAGCACCATCATCCCACTGTGACGGGTCCCCATCCCAGCGGCAAAGACAGCCCACAGCAGCTGGCAACACCTGCCTGGAGGAGCAGATGGTCCTGAGGATCCCAGACTCACAACCACCACCTGCCCAAGCAAGGGACAGGCCCTGGCAGTGCCACCCCATCACCACACCCAGACGCCTGCTGTGCCGTGTTGGCATGATCTTCCCCTAGCTCTCCTCATTTCAGCAGTTTTCACCTCTTTAACTCTGCCAGCTCCTTAGCTTTCATCTCTGCCAATGCCAGTTCAACCTCCTCCTCTTCTTTCGACACCTCATCAGCTGTGGCTTTTGGTGATGTTTTCTCTTCTTCCTGGCCTTCTTCCTCTTCACCAGAGCTCAGACTGCCAAAAAGAAGCAACTCAGAGCATCTCTTCTGGCGACAGCCCCAAAAAACCACTTTGTTGCCTTCAGGCACCCTGGTTTCTCCTACCTGATATCCAGCTCCTTTGCCTGCTCTTTCAGCTTTTTGGCCAGGAAACGTCGCAGTTTTGTCCTCCATTTCAGCAGGGCTCTGTGCAGGGAGGCAGCCAGTTGGGGACACCCGCCTAAGCCCAGCAGGACACCCTGTCCCCGTCCCCGTCTCCCCGGTACCTGAGCTCCTTGCGCCCCAGCACGCGAATGTCCTTGCAGCACTGCCGCAACTCCTCCGTGGTGGCACTGTGATTCTCCAGCTCACCATTCCCTAGTGTGATCTGGATGCAGCAGAGAAAAAGGGCTGCTATTCCCAAGCCCCTGTCCTGCTTCTCCTCCCTCTGCAGGACCAGGCCCTGGGGCCACCAAAATTCTTGTGGCCTCACCCACCTCATTGGCCTTGGAGAGGAAATCCACAGGGTTGGGAGCCTTGAGGAAGTCCATGAGGGTGAAACGGCGGTACAGGGTCGTGTCACCATCGGCATAGCCTTCTGCCTGCAAAAGAAGAGAACCTTATGAGCCAGCAGCATCAGCCACCCCCAAAAGTCAAACCATTTCACATAAATTGAATCTAGCTGCAGCATCAGCCTAAACGTGCCCAAGAGACACGGGGAGAAGAGCAGGTTACTGGCCTCTAAAGTCTGCTGAGGAGCAGGCCCAGCTCTAGGGTGTCTCCTCCAGCCTCAGCCTAACCTCAGGCACTGAAAGGGGATGGCAATAGAGACCTGCAAAGCTCGGCTCCAAGTTGAAGCTACCTGACGTAGCCATTGGTGTCCTGAGCCCCAAACACATCTCTCAGAGATGTCGTAGGGAGAATGCAACACTGAGCTACCCCCCATAGCTTCAGGGCTTTGTCTAACTGCAAGCACTTTCTCTGCTCGTCTGTCCCACAAAAGAATTGAAACTGGGATAGAAGAAAAAAGACTTCACAGAGCCAGACCCTCCCTCAGGCTGCCGCTATTCCCGGGAATCAGCTCTCTGCAGAGGAACACGTAGCCCACCTCAGGGCTGTGCCATCCTCATACCTTCGGCTTCTTCTTGCTGATCAGCTCGCTCACAGACTTGGTCTGAACCTCCACCTCCTTGAAGGCATACTTTGGGTCAAAGAACTTGCTGTCAATTTTGTCTGGAGCCTGATAACCTGTGAGGGGAGAATCAGAGAGCTCAGCAGGTTTCTCCTTGTTCCATCTCCGTGGCCCAAGGTGCCAGTGGCTGCAAGTCCCCTGGCCACTCACCCTGGCACACCACGAAGATCTCCGCGGACTCGTTGCGCGAGGCTTGGGGCTTGGTGGCCTGGACCTTGCGGAAGAACTGCTGGAAGATCCAGAGGAGAGGCTGGTAGTCCCGGGAGCGAAAAACCTTGGTGATGAACCAGCCTCCTTTGCACAGGAATTCGCAGGCCAGTTTGAGGGCCATGAGAGTCAAGTTGGCTGAAGTGGGAGAAAGCAGCAGTCAACAGAGTTGCCACCTCTCTGTCACCTAATTCCCTGTCCCATAATACAGGCCACCATCTACGAGGTCCTGCTGCAGCATGAAATGGAACCCTCCTTGCAACCCCCTGCAACTGCCCCAGGTCCCACCAGCCTTGAGAGCCCCACCTTGGGAGTAAGCATCGTGCACCCAGCTGGCACCCACGTTGGGTGCCCCGTCATTGAGCACCACGTCCACCTTCCACGTCTGCAGCTCCTTGCGCAGGGCCTGAGGGCCAGAGGCTCACGTTAGATCTGCTGACACACAACGCTTTGCACCTCCTGCCCCCAAAGTCCACGTTCCCACCTGCCAGCCCAGCCCAGGCACTCAGTTCACCCACCTGCCCTGATCCTACCCCAAATGATGCCTAATGAAACGGGCTGGGTGACCCTGGACAGATCTGCTCAGTCCTACATCAACACACAACACTTAGCAGTGAGGTTTTACCTGGCGACACTTCTCAGTTGTGATGTCCTCCTGCAGTGTGACCACATTGGGAATGGGTTTAATAGGGACCAAATCTACCCCTGGTAAAAGGAAGACATGTCAGTGCTGCAACTTCTTCCCCCAACCCAGTCTGGATTTGCAGCTCACTCCCTCCACATGCCAGGGCCCAAAAAGCACCCTTGGTCACAGCCAAGGAGCAGTGGGGGCCTCAATCTCCCCTGGGACATCCTTGCCCACCCCTGTTCCAGCTCAGTGCAGAGTCCCACCACTCACCAATGATCAAGCTGGAAACAGGCATGAATTTGGAAGCCACCTGTAACCTGCGGAGAACAGAGAGGGTCTAAGGCAGAGCAGGATCCCAGGAGATCCTCCAACGGGGCTGCCTGTGCTTTGGGATCTCGGCTGGGAGCCAAGGGAGCGAGCTCCCCTGCGCTCCGGCTTATCCAGATCCCGAGGGGCAGCCAGGCCTGGCGGGAGCTGCTGGAAAGACGCCTGGAGACCTCAGTGACACTCACCAGCCGCCGGGGGCTGCACACAGGTCCAGCAGCGCCCGGGCCTTCTGCAGGAACTGGAACTTCCTGTTGAGCTGCAGGAGCTTGAAGGCGGAGCGGGAGCGGAAACCTGCGGGGACGGGAGAGGCCGCGGATCAGCAACGGCCGTCGCGGGGCTCCCGCCGCGCTGGGGGGCGCCGCTCACCCGTCTCCTTGGCCAGGTGGTAGAACTTGTCCCGCCGGCTCTTGCCCACTTTGCTCTTCTTGCCCATGGCGGCGCGGGGCGGACTCC